CAAGAATTGAGAAAGCTGGGGAGAAATGAGAATATGTGTACCAAAGACATTACAACTAAGAGACCAAATTGTTTACATTTTTATGTGGCAAATCATTATTCCCACCAGATTCTCGTTTATTGCGTCTTTGCCGATTTTATCAGTCTGTCAAAATTATTTGGAGAAATTACTTTCGAAAAATAAAATTTGATGTGTCCTGTAACTATAATTTTATATTATATAAATAAAAATATGTTTTTAATCAAATTATTCTTTGAAGTTTTAATATAAGCTAAATTTTTTATTAAAAAATCAATATTAATCTTAACAAAATATTAGGGTTTCGAAGAACTCCGTAAATACGGCAACGCTGAATATCTTATTTTACGAATTTACAATTTTTATGAATGAAATGTAGTACCGTAACCAGCCGCAACGTTGCCAATCAGGTCTAAGCTATTTTGTATTTCTGACAGTATCTGACAGTTTCTGTGTGACTTATTGATTTATTCATTTATAAAATACTATTTTTGTGAACTTTTGTGAGAAATATAAAGAATTATGGTACATGCATGTGTAGTGTTCAAAAAGGTAGATCATTTAAGTCGAAATATGTGGTTTCAACGGTAAGTATTTTTAGGTTAAGATATGTTGTTTTCATTTGAACCAGTGGAGTAGGGCTTGTACAAGATTTGATACAATTTCTTATAGAATTTAAATTATATAGGATCACATAGTAAATTGTTTGAAAAATGATTATTCAATCTAATTTTTCAGACAATTTACTGCAGGTTTGATAATATACAATTTAAATTGTACAAGAAATTGTATCAAAAACTTGTGTAGTCTAAAACAGTCTTAAAACAGTTTTTAAAGTGATATTCCTTTTATAAATTAGTAAATTATACCAATAAATAATTATTGAATAGTGGCAAAGAAAATTTAAGGTAAAATGTAGAATACCTTAAAAATTATTTACCTATTGAGCACCTATACATATTTTTTATTACTCTATTTAGGTTTCCACAAGATCCTGAGAAAAGAAAACTTTGGTTTTCTCTAATATGAATCCTTGAAAATCAGCCCCTTCGTAAAAACCCAGAGTTGTGTTTAGAACACTGTTTTCCTGAAAATGTTCTGGTACGTGCAAATGGTACTAGATATATTAGAAAAGATGCAAACTCCAGACGGTGTGAGGGCTTTCTATTTTTGGATGACTTATCCAACAGGTAAAAATACAAAATATTAATTTTTTGTTTACCTCTAAACATTATTTATTACCTATATGTATATCTAATGTATGGGTTTTTAGTTCTGATTCAACTGTTTTTGGAACACCACCTGCTGCAAAAAGAAACGTTGCAGTAAGTTATAACATTAATAACTAAGCATAAAAAAATTAAATGAAATTTTAGTTAATAAATTTAAAGTATTTTATATATTTAAAACATTATTTTAAAAATGTTTACAGTTTTTTTTACGATATTTTTTGCCATACCATGTTTTTTTGTAATTAATTATTAAAAAATTATATATTTTTAGGACAGTGTTTTATTTAGATACCCCTACCTACTAATGTTAATTTAAAATTTTAAATAATTTTGGTTAACATCATATCAGGCAAATATATAGTAAATGCCAATAAACTATAAACCAATAAATATTAAAAATCGAAAGGTAACTTGAATTCGCTTGTATTTGAATTTACTTGTACTTGAATTTACCTACATGAAAAATCAGCAAGTATCATGCAAAACTATTGTCATATACTCTGATGGCAATTCTCTCACCAGAAATCAAATCACGACTGGTGAAAGACTGTCTAGAAGACCTGACAGAGCTAAGTAGTTAAAATAAGGTGACCTTAGCCTGGGTTCCAGGCCATAAGGGATATCAGGGCAACGAAAAGGCTGACGAATTAGCCCGAGGAGACTCAGATAAGGCCAAGACAGGCCCCGGACCCTTCTGTGGAGTTGCTAAGGCATTGTGCAAGGCATCCATTAAACAATGGATGCAAACAGAGTCTCAGGAATGGTGGAACAACTATCCAAGACTGAGACAGGCCAAACAGTTCATCAAGGAACCATCGGCCAAGTTCACGAAAGACCTATTGGATCAAAAGCGTCAAATCGTTAGGATAACAGTAGGCCTTCTTACTGGACACTGTCGCCTCAAAAGGCACATGAGTGTCATAAATCCAGCAGAAGAAGCAACTTTGAGCAGGTTCTGTGAAGAAGAAGAGGAAATAATATTCCACGTCCTGTGCCAATGTGTATGCCTGGCTGGAACGAGGTTTCTAACATTGGGCGAAGAAAAGCCAATTGCATGCAACTACCAGGTCTTCAACAATACCCGAAACCCACGTGATCTGATAACCATCAAAAACTCATCGAAAGGGCCTGATTTGACGTAAAAGGAACTAAACTGAACTGTGAGTCCTGTCAGAAATGTCACTGGCGTTCATTTGGGGACTGACAATATTTTATATTATATTTGTTTACATTTTATAAACACAGTCCATTTTTCATTTAATATTAATAAAGCAATTAGTTATTTTTAGAGATTATTGGTGGGTTAATTCTTTTTTGTTGGTAAGTACAAATTTATTTACTGTAACTCGTAAACGTTAATGACTATATAATTTATTTTAGGTAATGTTGTACTAGAAAAAATTATTATATATTCGTAATTGTATTCGAAAATTTGAGGAACGTTTTCCAGGTGAATAAATGGAATGTGATTCTTTTTTGTCGTCATAAACAAATACTTGTTCAAAATTATAAAAAAGGAAAAAGCTCTAAAAGGCCCAAAGTAATAACAAAAGCTGTTGAAGATGTGCAAATTAACATGGTGCAAATTCCCAATAAATTAGTAAAAAAAGCAGCACCTCAAACAGGTATGAACGGTGTTTCAAAGACTGACTGTGGCGAGTGAAATTCAAAACATATTTTTTTAGGTTTGTCACTACGAACTAGCCATAAAGTTGATAACATTTCTGATAATGCATCCCCTATAAAGTTTCGGTACTACAACAATCATTTTACCTTAATTTTGTTAAACCTACCTATGGAATATTACAGATCGCTCAATTCAAAATTGTTTGTGACGTTTATGAACTGGAGCACCTATATTAAATGATATACAAAATATAACTGAGGAGAAACTGCATAATGTGTTCAAAAAAGAACGTTTAATGCTTGCATTAAAGCTGGTGGTAAAGATTTTGAACAGAGAGGTACTGTGAATTAGTATCGTTTGTGCACCACCGATTACTACTCAATATCCTTTTAAATAAAATAGTTTTTAGTAGGTATGCCTCTATAATTTAAAGTGAGAAGTGAGAGCTTTGAGGTAAAACAAATATGTGCTTGTTACATTAATAATATTAATATTTTTTTGTATACATATAAGTAACATAATGTATTTTGTAAATGTTTTAAACCCTGTAACAAATAAATAATAGAACAAACTTAAAAAATTATTTGTTTATTACTTCCCATTGCCCAGGTACAATTCCAGTAAGTTTTAAATTTGTTTACTTAAACTTTAGTGCATAACATTTTTTGTCCATAACTTTCTTGCGCCCTGTTCTGGTAAAGGTGTTTTTTGTAGTGGCAATAACTAGTACGAACCATATTTCAGTTTAATATTATTTTCGTTGAATACAAACTAGATATAAATAGCTCAGTTTTTAAGGTTATGTTAATTATATCATAATTTTAAAATTTAGATCATTGCATTTGACTAAATCTAATTAAAATATCGAATTCTAACATTAAAATACAATAATGTAAAGCACCTCTAATTAATATTATGATTTTGTGTTGTAATTCTAAATTTTGTTCTTGTAGTTGCATACCATAAAAAAAGAAGATCTATTTTGCAATAAAATACCTACGGCACTGGCTCACATCTAGGGATTTTTACTTTTATTTTCACCAATAGCTGTCATGACGATTTGGTCACGTGGGTTTTCGGTATTGTTGAAGACCCAGTACATGCGGGAGCCACTGTCAAAGCTACTAACACTAATAAAAAAGACCAGTCTAGACGACATACTCTAAAACAAACAGAAGTCCCACAATAGATCTGAAAAGGTCGCGGTGGACAAGAACAAATAACGTCCAACTCATAATCTAATCTACCTACATGAAAAAATCATCATAATTATATTAATAAAAAAATATACCTACATATTTACGTATTTTTTTAACATACTACTCTGACAATACTGGTAAGTTTAAAACTCTACGCCACTGGCGAGCATATTATGGACACTGTTTACAACGTTGCCAGCCGGTCATAAGAGATCTGTTTTTCTCTCTTCCACTCACTAACAATTTTAAAATAATAACAGTCCGCAATTGTATGGGATTTATAAATGAAACATTTTGTCTATATGTTGCAATGTCTTTGATGTGTACCGACTAGAATCCGGATTTGACAACTTCAAATTCACAAATTTGGTTGTGTGTTCCAATAAAATCCAGGTTCAATCCCTGGCTAGTCCACTTAGTTTTTCTTCTCTTTATTTCTAAGTGTTTTCAATTTTCTTTTGTTTGTTTTCATTTTGGGGGTACATTTCTTAATTTCGTAGTAATCTAATCCGATTTTTTTTTATTCATATTAGAAGGTTGTTTTTGAATAAATTTTACAGATATAACGTTTTTATAAATTTTAAATATGAAAACAATAGCAATATGTAAATTGAACTTATTAGTGTATTAATAATAATAAATAGGTACTTTATCAAAATTAGGAATGTAGGAACATTTATCAGCAATTCTTTTTATAGAAATAACGAGTCTTCAACAATACCCATATCCCTCGTGATTTAATGATAATGGCCGTACGCAACTTTAATGATAATTAAGTATCACTTCTGTCAACTAATTTGGTGACATTGTTTAGAGTTACAACAGAAGTTATATTAATAATAATTTTAGGCAACTGATGACTGATGAATTGTTGAAGACTCTGAAACTATTTCAGATGAACGATAATATATTTTTAATACTTACGTTAAGTTCTGACACCAATAGCCAGGCCCCCAAGTACATTCTTCAGCGCCTAATAAATTATGATGCTTTTTGTGTCCTGGTCTTGGAGGAACAAACACTCCACTTACCAGCACTGCAATAAACATTACAAATAGAGAAAATAGAAATATAAAAAATAAACTATTTAATATATCAAATAAAAAAGACAAACATTTATGTTCCTGACCATCTTTGTTTCTTTTTTTGATTAACTTTTATATTTAAACAGTTGTCAATAAATAATAAATCATTAGTGTTATAATATCTATGATGAAAAAAATATTATCAAGGATATTATATTTTAGAAATATGAGAAATTTAAGTATAAAAGAGTATATGTTAGATCCATTTTTCTTTATCAGTTAATAGGTACATTGATAAATTAGCAGTTTAGAAGGTGTGTAATGTAATTATCAATATGCGGACTACAGTACTTCAGCATGGAGATTGACACAGCATCAGAACCCATGGCATTAGATTTGATATTATGGAGTAGTTTATTAAATTCTCTGACAGTCATAAAATCAAATGCTAGTTTGTTTTCATGCAAATTAGGTAGTGTTGAATTATTATAATATTCTAATAGGTCATCATCTACTTCATTATCAACAAAAACATCACAAAAGTACTTATTTATTTCTTCGGGTTTCTGCAGTGAAATAGGTACCCAGTAAACATTTTCTATAACATTAGTTATAACTCGACTTTGTTAAAGACGAATTTACTTATTGAGGTAATTATTACGTAAAATTGACTAGAAAAATATACCTCCAATGTAAATTTACCAAACGGTTTTAATTTATATTTAAATTTACGTAAATTATACCAAGAAATCTACCTTTTACACAAATCTGCTTAAAAGTAACTTTAACCATGTCAACAAGGGAAAAACTACTAAAAAAAATAACCAACAATTACTTCAAAGTTAAATTTCCTTTGTAGTAAAATTAGGTGCCATATTTAGGTAATATCTACCTGTTTGGCAACTAAAAATCGTCTTTATAGTAGAATATCCAACTAGGTAGATTTGGTTAAAAATTCTACGTAATTTTATGCCTCCATAGTAACCTATTTGGCCGCTTTTATTTACTCTCCTTTAAAGTAATATTAGGTCGAGATCGTAGCAAAATTCTAACTGTTTATCTACCTAATTTCAACCAAATAGTCGAATACTCATTTAGTTGACCTATACGTCATCTTGAAGAAATAATTATTAACTTTGTTGTAGCAATTATCTGAAAAATCTACCACAAAGTAAATTCGACTAAAAACCACCAATTTAAAATGAGTCATGCATGACATATTTGTAAAATTTATATTATTTAGGTTATTTTAACAATTAGGTTGTTCAGTTACTGTCTTCGTCATTATTCTTAAGAATTTCGGCCATTATAAAAAAACCATTAAAGTCGTAATCTTAATTTACGTGTGGTGTAGATAGAGCTTTAAATGAGTGCGAAAAATAATTAATAAAATGAGTTCGAAAAATAATAAATCATATCGTTATACTTCCGATTTTTATTGTAAAGTGAAACGTCTAAAATCTCAAGTGCAGAACAACGTGACCTAAATATGTTATATTTACCTATAGGTAAATTTTTTATAAAACCTATAAGTTATTATTCCTTTAAATAGGTAAAGTTAACTAATATGTCGTGAAATTGAAGTTAATTCAACTTAATAAAAAGGTATTTGTAAAATACGTAGATTTCCTTAGTCATAATAACTTTTAGGTCGAATTCGCACAATACGCCATATTTTCTTAACGTAATTGAAGTACGATTCCAAATTTTAAATTTTTAAAATGACCATAACTAGAACATACGAATGAAAATACCGAAAAACGAAACATTATTTTTATTTTCTAAAGCGATACACAACAAACGTAACATAGTTTTAGCTCATATTATTATTATTTTTTTACACGATCATATTTTTTTCTTATATTTTTTTAATTAGAGAGTATTTTGGAAGGGCATTGTTATTTTTCTAAATAGAACTATTAACATGCACGACAAAATTTTCTTCGCATTAATTTCAACAAGCGTGAACTGTATATTCACCGCAATTACATTACATATATTTTTGTCACCGACATTTATTTATTTTCAATCTTTCATGTGAATTAGGTATATGTTTTAGTTGTGTTGATGATTTCTTACAATATTTCTACTTATATATAGATAAAAATACCAAATAAGTATAAAATTTCTTTTCGTACACTTGGAGGCGTACGTCATCTGCAAATATTTTGGTAGTTTCTACCTAAACTTAGTTAAATCAACGTCGAATTAACGTTATACTGACGTCAAATTTCCCTAGAGAGGTATTACTAACCAAACGTACTGGGCTACTACAATGTGGATTTAGATGTAATTCTACCTATTTTGGTAAATAAAACCAAATTTCGACGTCGTCTTATTCTCCACTTATGTCGAATCCACGTCGAGCCAACGTAAATTTTACTTAATTATGGTTAAATCTGATTTTGCGACCAAATTTATTATATATAATTTAGGTAGTATCGACGTCAAATTACACCAAAATGTTTGCTGGGTAGGGTTATTTTTGACCGACTTCAAAAAAGGAGGAGGTTCTCAATTGGTCACGTTTTTTTTAATGTACGTTCAGCGATAATTCTTCAACACGGTATCCGATTTCAATGATTTTTTTTTTTGTTAGAAAGGGGGTACTTCAGGGATGGTCCCATATATATTTGGTCAAAATCTAATAATTGGGTCCATGAGAAAATCCTCAAACTCTTCATTTTTTATGTGTTTAGCGATAATGCTTTACCATCTTGTCCGATTTATATGATTCTTTTTTTGTTAGTAAGGGGGTACCTCAGGGGTGGTCCCATATAAATTTGGTTAAAATGTGGTGATGGCATCTGCACGTTTTTGAAGTCGGTTTTTTTTAATTTCTAATACTCGTTTGCTTTCTGGACTGAAGTTTATTTAGACCCTTCCATAAATCCTTGAATTTATGGGAATTAAACACGTTGTCAAAATATGCTCTTTTTTCACGAGAGAGTGAAATTTCTTAATTCCTTGTACCTATACCAATCAGTGTGTAATCTTTGTTAATTAATAATTTGATTGGATTTAACCAGGGTGCATAAGGTTTAGTAATACGTATAGTTTTTAATGGCGCATGTTTATCAAACAAGAGAATAACTTGTTCTGTGAGAAACTGCACTTTATCAACAATATTTTCAATATTGAAAATTTCATGAAATGGAGTATTTATTAGATCATTGTAAAAACTGTCATTGACAAAATTTTTAAAATCTCTAAACGTATAAAATTTGGGTTTCTTTCTTATTTTTGAAAATTCCAAAATAAAGAATTCTATACTTAATGATCGAATGATCGCTAGCACACGAGTCATTTTGATGAAGTTCTGTACAGTTCAAACATATGTCGCAACAGAATTTCCCCCAATGAAACGTCCATAAGGGTGTTCTACTACAATAGTAAATCTGATTATTTTAAGCAAATCCAAATTATATAGTTATTACATATCCATTTTCATCATGAATCATTCTTAAAGTTGCTATTGATTTATAATACCAATTTTATTTATAAAAATTGGCCTATAATAAATTTAATCAAAATATTTATTATCAATATAAAAATTCTGACTAGTTTCCATTATTAACAAATCATTGATTATTTAGTGTGATTCAGCCTATAACCAAAGTGTGATTCATAGGAGTGATAATATTTAGCAGTAAATAAATTTTAATAGAAAACAACAAATTTGTAATATTTAAAATAATTATCATGTCCATGACTAACAGCTTTGATCTAAACTTGGATTTATTAATTTGGTTGTACCTAGAATATTATTATTGAAATGTTTATAAATTAATAGTATCTGTAGGGAACAATACAAAATTAACTAAACTTTACACATGTCAATCTTCTGGCTCTGTAACGAAATGGGGCCGAACGAAATAGTGTGCATCAAAATAGCACTATTATTTGAGCCCATATACAAAATTCCGTGTATCGAAATAACGCCCAAACGAAATACTCAAACACTCAAAATAGTGCTAGTCAAAACAGGGCACAAATGAAACAAAAAATTTTTTCTCATTTTATGTACCTATATTTTTTTTGCGAAGCTCCAGGCCGAACAGGTTAGGTAGGTAAATTAGTTAAGTTTTTGTATAATTTTTGTGGAGCAACCCGTGATGACTCCAGCCGCTGTTTCATTCAGGAGTTGTTTTGACTGATGCTATTTTGATATGAACTATTTCATTCAGGCGCTCTTTTGATACACGCTATTTTGTGACAAAACTCAATTTCCTTTATCTTAATTTTGTAATCTATATGGCTATTTGATAAAAGAGGACAGAGTTCAAAAGATTAACTGAACTGATGGTAACATTTATTTTATATCCAACCCATGATCATCTATGTAAATAATCTTAGCAATAATTATTTTTAATTAATTTGATATAGGTATTACAATTATTTTATTTAATAAAAATATGTCTACTGAATCTACACATAAATTCTTAGGTAAATATAAAATGTGTAAGCACAATGTACCTAGGAGGTAATAAAAAAATATTCTACATTTTATTGTTAAAGACATGAAAATTACTGTTGAACAGTTTTTATCCTAAAATGAAACAAATTAGTATAGACAATATAAATGGCAGAGTTCTGGCTACGGTTGCTGAATACATATGTGTACCACTTAGATACCTAATCAACTTATCATTCACTACCGGAACTTTTCCGAATCTTAAAGAATCTAAATGCATCCTAATCTATAAAAAAAAGGCTCCTGTATAGACCCTAAAAATTACCGCTCTATATGTATACTAGGGTGTGTCATTTTTGAGCAACTTTTCATTTTCAACTAAAAACAGGCTAAAAACTTTCAAGAAAGTGAAAAAATAAGCCTCTAAAAATTTGAGCTCTTAATATTAACATTAAGTGGTGCCTGTTCCTAACTTTCCATTTTCCATTTAAATAACATGAAAAAAAAATTTTTCTTTTTCTTATTTTTGTACCTTGACAATATCTACTTTTTGACTATTGGCACTAATATGTTCACAAATATCCCTGAATGTAATGT